AAATGCTGGTTGCCACTTTGAAGAAGAAGAGAGAAGAAATTGGCTCCATACCCCGCCCTTCACTCGAAGTCTCAGAGCGGTTTACAAACTCCTTCCCCTTCCCCTCCCCACAACAGACACCCTGTGAGGTAGGCGGGGCTGAGAGAGCTCTGACAGAAACTGCCCTCGAGAGAACAGCTCTGACAGAACTATGGCTTGCCTGAGGTCATCCAGCAGCTGCAAGTGGAGGAGTGGGGAATCAAGCCCGGTTCTCTCAGATTAGAATCCGTGCACTTAACCACTACACCAAACTGGCTCTTTGGGGTCTGGAAGCAATAGGAAAATACAAAGTATAAATATACAACATAAATATCCAACACTTTTCCTAGGATATTGCTTGGTCCTTACCCAATGTTAAAGAAACAGAGTAGCATTACCCTATAAAGAAATAATCCTATAAAGAGCTGCGGTGGCTCAAGTGGTTAAGACGCTGAACTGCAGGTTGTGGAAGGTCGGTAGTTCAGCAGTTCGAGACCCAGGTGCCGCATGACGGAGTGAGCTCCCATCTCTAGTTCCAGCTCCTGCCAACCTAGCAGTTCGAAAGCAAGAAAGTGCAAGTAGATAAATAGGTACCACTTCAGCGGGAAGGTCACAGCGTTCCGTGCGCCTTGGTGTTTAGTCATGTCGGCCACATGACCATGGAAATGTCTTCAGACAGCGCTGGCTCTTTGGCTTTGAAACGGAGATGAGCACCGCAACCCTAGAGTCGGACTCGACTGGCTTTCAAGCAAGGGAACCTTTACCTTTATAAAGAAATAGAATGAGATTCCCAATAGTTGTTCTTTGTTCCTGAGGAAGGACCAGAAGTCTGAAACACTGAAAATTACCTAGGAAAAGTGTTGGATATTTATCTTGTATATTTATACTTTGGACTCTGTAGTATTTTCCTATTATGGATCGTTGGCTTCTGCATTTTCCCATGATGGATTATATGAATAGATTTATTCTTGACTATATATACATTTCACTTTGTTGAAGTCTCCTTCTGGATATACCTTTTTTGTGGGAAATACAGCTCACAGTTGTTTTCTGTTGTTCTTTTCTACAAATGTCACTTTGTTGGACTGGGCCATGGGTGCCATAAAATGTAACAGCAGGTACCAGAGAGACAAACTTTGTAAAGGTGATTTCAGATGCCTCTGTCTGGGGGGTTGGAGCAGATGCGAATCTGAAATCACTCTCCCATACATAAGACAGATGGGCTTATAGTCGAGTTGTATCTGAAGAAGTGAGCTCATAAAAGCTCCTCCCCTGCCCCAAATTGTGGTAAGTCATTCAGAGGCTACTGGAGTCTTGCTGTTTTCCATGAATAAAGATCTCTCCAAGTGAAATAGTGTGTTGATTTCAGACTGGGCAAAATCGACTCAGTGGCAGTGATAATAATGAAACAGTTTAGAAAAAGCAAACGGTTGGGTTAACGTGAAGAAAGGTAGCCGGCAAGGCGAGAGGGGAGAGAAAGAGACGTATTCAGTTGGAACATGTGGAGCCCTCGATGTATTTTTAAATGACTTCCAGTCATCAGACAATGTAATTCCAACCGAGTGTTGTAATTCCTAATTTTCTTCCGTTTTGAAAGAAAAATAAATCCCAGATAGCCACAAAGAAATCTAATCTATTTATTTATTTATTTATCAGATTTATACCCTAACCCTCCCCGCAAAGCAGGCTCTAAAAAACACTTTCAGAATAAGCCAAAATAATTTCATTTTAATTCTGCTTTCCCCTTATCCAAAGGTATCTCTCCCCCTTCCTTTCTTTTAACCTGCGTGTGTGCGACCAGACGAACCATATTAATCAGGTCTCAGCAGAGCAGTGTGATCTCAGTGTAAACTGTGCATGTCAGAATCATAGAATCATAGAATGTCAGAGTTGGAAGGGACCTTGCAGGTCATCTAGTCCAACCCCCTGCACTCTGCAGGAGCATAGCTGAAAGATAGCCCTACAACATATCTTTACTTTACTTTACAATTCGATTTATTTACCGTCCTTGACCCCTAGGGGGTCTCAGAGCGGTTTACAGGCATACTAATATGTAGTTATTATCTTAACCTAGGGCCACAATTCGAGGGGGAGGGGCTCCCTTACCGACACCCAAGCGGCACGCACTCTCTTTTTGTTGATATCCCGGGCGGGCTTCGGATGCTGCTCTTGGCGCCTCACGCTGACCGGCGACCACCTCCGGCAGGCTCCTGGTGGACTCCTTCGACGCACGACCACTTCTGACTGCAGCTTCAGCTTCCGTCCCTTAGGCTCCTGCCGCGCTGCGTCGTCTCGCCGTCGCGTCGCCTCAACTCCACCTCCATCCGGTTCGGCCACCGCATCCCTAGGTCACCAGCTGTTCCGCCGCCATTGCTGTTACCATTGCTGCTGCCGCCGCCAGCACTCTTGGCACACAACCAGGAGGAGGGTGCCCCCTGCCACCTAGGGCAGGTACCCATTTGTCTACTTGCTTTTGCTTTCGAGCCGCTAGGTGGGTGGGAGCTGGGACTAGGGCCGGGAGCTCACCCCGGCCACGGTGGGTCTCGAACAGCCATAGTGGCTGTTCGCTAACGTTGTTACTGCAGGCGTTGTACTGCCTGCGCCACCGCTCCCTCATTTTCAAGTGGAGGCTGGACGACCCTCTTTCGGGTATGTTGTAGGTATGTAGGGCTCTGTCTCGGCTCTGCTCCTGCAGAGTGCAGGGGGTTGGACTAGATGGCCTGCAAGCCGGTCCCTTCCAACTCTTAACATTCTATGATTCTATGACTGTTCACTTGACTCTGTCCCCACCTGTTTCTTTGACGGATCTCAAAGGAGGCCATTTGCTCTTGAACAGCTTCAAGAAGTTGTTCCTGATCTCTTTGGTTCTCATGCCGTAAATGATGGGGTTGACTGCCAAAGGGAGCAATAAGTAGATGGCACTTATTAGATTGTGGACGTCCTGAGTGGCAGACTTGGCTAAGCGAAACACAATGGAGGAGATGAGACTGCAAGAATAGACCGTGAGGATAACCATGAGGTGGGTGCCGCAGGTGTGGAAGGCCTTGCTCCGGAGGTGGCCGGAACTTATCTGCAGAGCCACGTGAAAGATGCGGCTGTACGAAGTCAGGAGAAAGCTGAGGTCAAAGATGGCGGTGATGGTCCTTACTAGCAGGCCGACGATCTTGTTCCTGGAGATGTCGCCGCAAGACAACCTCATGAGGGCCATGTGTTCACAGACAAAATGCCCAATGACGTTGGACCGGCAGAACCTCACCTGAGAAGCCAGGATCACCACCGGGCTCACCACGGCCACGCTCCGGGCAAGAGCCACCAGGCTCAGTATCACCATGAGCTTCTTTGTCATGATGTCCACGTAGCGCAGCGGGTGGCAAATGGCCATGTATCTGTCCAGAGCCATCACGACGAGGATGTTGCAGTCTACCAGGCGGACGAAGTAGAGGAAGAACATCTGGACGAGGCAGGCCGTCAGGGAAATGCGGATGGCTCCGAAAATGACGCTGAGAAGCATCATGGGAAGGATGACTGTGGTGCCACAGACATTGACCCCGAAGAGCAACGCGATCAGCGCGTACATGGGGGAGTGGAGGCTGCTCTCTGCCTTAATGGTGTAGATCAGCATGGAGTTTCCAATGATGATCGAAGCGTAAAGGCAGAAGAAGGGGACGGCCAGGAGGTATCTGGATTGCTGGAGGCCGGGGAAGGCAAGGAGGAAGAATTCCGTGTAGGAGACGTTGGCAGTTCCATTCGGGCCTCTTCCACTCATCCCAGGACTTCCTGAGGACACCTAGAACATCCCAGGAGGCTTCTGATCTGCAGAGGGGGGGGGGAGAAAGGGGAAACCTGTTCATTTTCTGCCTCTTCGCCTTAAAGAGAACTTATTTTAATGAAAAACTCGGGAACGAGAAAAAGGTACAATGCTGTCGCAGTGAGTAGGAGGAGAAAGCCAAGGGAAAGAATTGCTCCCAAGGAGCCGTGTGGTCTAGCGGAGAGGACGCGGACTCTAATATGGGGAAACTGGGTTTGATTCCTCGCTTTTCCATTTGCAGCTGCCGGATGCCCCTGGGCAAGCCATAGTTCAAGCCATAGTTCTGGCAAGAGCTGTTCTTGAAAAAGACCAGTTTCTGTCAGAGCTCTCTCAGCCCCACCGACCTCACAGGGTGTCTGTTGTGGGGAGGGAAAGGGAGAGGAGATTGTAAGCCGCTCTGAGACTCCCTTGGGTAGTGAAGGAGTAGTGCTGCTGTGCCCTCATAACTTCTGTAACACTAGCAGATTGTGGTTTCTTTTGTACTTCTGTGTACTTCAGGAGCTGTATATGTTTTATTCTGTTTGTAAGCCGCCCTTCGCTGGGAGGACAGGATATAAATATAAGTAAATAAATAAATAAAAATAAATCCAATCTCCTCCTCCTCCTCCTTCGCTGTGAAGTCTTGTGAGTAAAAGTTCTACTTTGTGAGCTACTGGTGTTAAAGGTGTGACTGAGCGATTTGGCTACTGCATAAGTTAGTTTGCTCTGGAGCCATCCTTCCTGAGCCAAGACAAAAATGTGTGAGCCGGAGGCTAAAAAACTGTGAGCTAGCTCACACTAACTCAGCTTAGAGGGAACACTGGCCCTGAAAGTGAGACCAAGACTCAGTTTCCCATCTGTAAAACGTGAACAACAGCAGCCTTCCTTTCAAAGTTAGTTCCTACCAGGGTAACTTGTTCAGGCAGGCCACATACATGAGAAATAACCATAACTTTCCAAGGAGAAAGAGATATAAGAAGGCTTTGACCTAAGTGAAGAGGAGATTCAAGCAAAACTCTCATTTCAGTGGATTCTTAATATTATTGTTGTTGTTCTTACCCAGATTTCATGGCCAATAGAGTGCTAAGTGATTCAATTGTTTTTAAAGGCGGATGTTGTAGCTCCCGCTAATGGTTCCATTTGCTTCCAAGGTTTCAACTAGTTTGGTCAAATGCAAGAAAGGGGGCCAATATTAAAAACTTAATGAAGGAAATATATAAAAAAATACAAGTATTTATTAATCACAAATTTTAAAATTATATAAGGGCCCAATCACACATTATGTATAAATAACAAACGATAAAACACAAGGGCGGATAAATCTGACCTGACGCATTTCGGCCTGGACCAAAAGCAATTATGGGTTTTTAAATTACTTTTTGCATTTAGACTCAAAATTGTGGGATACATTATTTTATACATTTTTTGTCTTTAGGTTTATATCTGAGAACCACTTGGCATGTGATTGCACTTTTGGAGGCCTCATTTGTACTTTTTACTCTGTGCCTGGTGGTTTTATTTTGAAAGTAAATCAATGGTATATATATTTATTGGCAATATATGTTTACAGTCAATTTATCTGTTTTAATATATGTGTTTAATTCCCCATTTTTTAATCTTTTACAGCAACTTGCTTCTGGTCCTTATTGAATTTATACTTTGTATTTACATGATTGTACTATATTTGTGGAGCTGCGGTGGCTCAAGTGGTTAAGACGCTGAACTGCAGGCTGTGGAAGGTCAGTAGTTCAGCTGTTCGAGACCCGAGTGTGCCGCATGACGGAGTGAGCTCTTGTCTCTGGTTCCAGCTCCTGCCAACCTAGCAGTTCAAAAGCAAGACATTGCAAGTAGATAAATAGGTACCACTTAGGTGGGAAGGTAACAGCATTCCATGCGCCTTGGTGTTTAGTCATGCCGGCCACATGACCACGGAAACGTCTTTGGACAGCACTGGCTCTTCAGCTTTGAAATGGAGATGAGCACCACAACCCTAGAGTCGGATTCGACTGGCTTTCGAGCAAGGGAACCTTTATCTTTACTTTACCTTTACTATATTTGTATAATAGCCAATATGTTCCTCAATATTGACCTCTGAGGAAGGCCTATGTAGGCCGAAACGTGTCAGGTCAGATTTATCCGCCCTTGTGTTTTATCGTTTGTTATTCATGCATAACGTGTGATTGGGCCCTTATATAATTTTAAAATCTGTGATTAATAAATACTTGTATTTTTAAAATATATTTCCTTCATTAAGTTTTTAATATTGGCCCCCTTTCTTGCATTTGACTAACCTTCGTCAGGTTCTGGATTCTAAGTTTTAGGTTCAGTTCCCTCCACCACCCTTTTTTGTCCCTCTTCAACTAGTTTTGTAACATTTTTAATGGCTGCTGTTTCCTATTCGGTTCTCTCAGTTGCTCGATCGGTGGTTTTGTTGGTTTGCTTACTGAGTGTGATTTTAAAAATGGTTTGATCTTTTCATTGGCCTCACCACCTTGAGAACATTGAGGTATGAAGAGGAACAGAAATGACATACACACCTAAGTAAATAATTGCAATAAAATGTCATTTGTCCCATGGCAAATTTGCGCTCTTATTGGTCCCAAAAAAATGAAGCCAGGGCCCAGTTCTCACAACCGACATATCAACCATTAACAGTTCAGTGTGTTTCATGAGGAAGAACTTCATCATAAGGCTGTCACGGTGAAGTGCTTCCCCATGAAAAACATTCCTGTACATAGAAAGTTAGCAATGTGTCAGAGAGAATACAAAAACATGTGCTTTGGTATGAGACAATGAGCGTTGTGTGAACCAATTCGGTTCATGAGGTTCGTGACATGGTAGAATGCCCCCCTTCCAGCAAGCTAGAGACACCAAACTCGCAGGGGTTCTCTGGATGACTCTCTTCTACCTGCCAACTAAGTTTGACGAGGATTGGATTCACAGGGTCCGAGTTTTGCCCCCCCAAAGAAGGTGCCCCCATCCTCCATAGTTTCCAATGGAGGGGAAGAAACCAGCAAAAAAGCAAGGGCAATAAAAGCCCAGCAGAACAGAATCAAAGTCCCAGAGAATCTATGCAGTAGAAACTGAAGGTGGGCATTGTTCCCTCTAAGCTGAGTTAGTGTGAGCTAGCTCACAGCTTTTTAACTTCTGGCTCACACATTTTTGTCTCACTCAGGAAGAAGGGCTCCAGAGCAAACTGATTCATGCAGTAGTCAAATTGCTCGCTCACAACTTTTACACCAGTCGCTCACAAAATAGAATTTTTGCTCACAAGACTCCACAGCTTAGAGGGAACATTGAAGGTGGGGCATTTTTGCAAGCCCAGCAGAACCAGGGGAATGTGCCCAGCAGAACCAGTGCCACAGTGGCAGTGCAAACCCAACAGAACTAAGTTCAAGCCAGAGAAGTAGAAATGGAAGGTGGGGGTGGGCAGGCATTTTTGCAAGCCCAGTAGACTCCAAGGTGGGAGCAGATTACATATTTGGGGTCCCAGTTATGGACCCCCCGAAATGGTCTCCCACATTTATACCCTCCCACACATCCTGAGTGTGAAAACCTTCTTCTCTGTGTGCCATGAGGGTAAAAGAGGATGTGAAGGGTGCTCATCACGGAGGGAAGAAGTCCCCAAAGAAAAAGAAAAACCCACGGCTTTCAAAGCAGGAGGGGGATGCGGGGTGGTGGTGGTAAGCCTCAGGAGCCGCAGGAGAGGGCTCCAAGTGCTGCATGCTGTTCGAGCCCCCTCAGTCAGAGCTCGGTTCCTCCACCTGGGAGGCCAGAGGACGCTTCCCACCAGGAAGGATCAGGGCCTCCCCGGGGGAGGTTCAGTGCCCTACGGAAAAGTTTGGGGAAGTTCTCCAGTTCCTCAGCCCCCCCGTAGATGACGCCTATGCCTCTTCAGACTAAACAGATGTAGGCCCTTCCTGCGCCTTTGTTCCCTTCCTCTCTCATATCTCACTGATGACTGTCCTTGAGCCCTCGTTAAATCATCTTGAACTCGGTAGAATTCTAGGCCAAACTGGGCCTGGGTTGCTCTGAGCAGAGTGACCGATGGACCTCCCAAGTCTTATAGATGGAATTCTGGGCTGGGAAGTAAGTGGCACAGGGATGCAGATATGACTGAGCCACCCTCTTCTACTTCGATCGGTGCATGCCTTCAGAATCAAAGTTGTAGCTCTACCTACCTTGATGCGCTAGGAGGCCCGGTGTGCCAATTCTGCAAAGGCCGGTTGCATTCTACAGGCTTAAGTAAGTTCAGGCAGATACTCAGGGGAGCTCCAACCCGGAGGGCCTTTTCTGTGGCTTGGGATTGCGCTCTAGATAGCAATGGACACAGTTGCTGCTCTTGCAGGAGGGCATTTTAAGTTCATGACTCAGAAACTGGGGACTCGGGAATATGTAATTTACTTTGTCATGAAGCATGAGAACATAAGAACATAAGAGAAGCCAATGTTGGATCAGGTGCAACTGCGGGACTCTGCAGTCTTGAACACAAGGCATTGCCGAGCTAAAAAAATGAAGAAAGGGCAGCAGGAACAATCAAGGGGTTGCATCTCCTTCTGTGTGAGGAAAGGCTGAGGAGTTTGGGGTTATGCAGTTTGGAGGAAAGATGATTCAGGACTTAACTCTATGTTGCATTTTCCTTGCATCTTTCCTGGGACTGCCACAAGGACATTTGCTCAGGCGTGAGCTGCAAATTTCTTGCCCAGGACAGTTCCTATGCATGCCACCTCCTTACTTCTCGAGATTCGGAGATTATTGAATTGACTGTCAAGTTCTTTTATGGTCTTATAAAATGGAAAAATGTCCCTGATCATTCTAATTGAGTTCAAAGAGTTTGTATAATTTAATTCTAGGTTTTGCGGTTGGGAATTTTTTTTTTAATATTGTTATAATTTAAGTTCATACAAATAGACATACCTTTGTAATGCTTTAGAAGTTATCTATCTTTCACAAATTTTATAGGATTGTTTTACCCTATG